CATATCAGAAGTACATATTAGATATGGTTCATATTTTTCGCGTTAAACGAAGGAGAGAAAATTGCGCCGCCATTGTTTATTCTCGTCACGACTTGTTTTGAAGGCCTATGACGTCAATGAGATATAAATTCTGTTTCCACTAAGTATGTTTGCCAAATATCACATTCTGGTTGCTATTTTAAGTCTATTTTTTGAGTGCGTCGGATTTCGAGCGGAAGCTCAGTAATTCTCCATTGAGCAGTCTTATTTGTAGCTATTTTTGGAGGGACTGTTGTTTTGTTTTGAACCTCACGGCGCATGCGTAATGTTATTGGGACTTGGGAAGTCCAAGCTCTTTTCTTGAAAATTGATTTTTAATGTATCTGCACAGAGCATTTTAAATGAATTGCTTGTTTTTACGCTTTTAGTTTACAATTTCATGGAAAATGAAACGAACGAGCGACAAATATTCGAAAAAAGAATGGCAATTCTCTGGCAGTTTTCCTTTGTCACAGCAAGAAGCCCACAGACTCAAACAAATCTGAGTTGTATTTAGTGATAGTAGAGTACAAACACTAGAGTGGTTTTCATAGACCCGTGAAACAAAGTGTAATAATTAGACTGTGATAGATGGTAATGGTCGTGTAGAGACAATAAAAAACAAAAGAGCTAAAGTGTAATAGCGATAAATACGCTAAAGTGTTTCACGGGTTAATGAAAACCACTCTAAAACTGTGCAACATAAATACCACTAAATACTGCTAAATACTGCTAATTCTATTGTTTTCTATTGTTTTTTAACGCTATTTTGTAGTAAATAGTGGAAAGTATTGCACACATTTAATGTTTGTACTCTACGGTGTAAAGTTAACGTATTTAATCCATGAAATTGTACAAAATCAAAAGAACACAAATTTGTACTAATCATAAATCTGTCACTGAGCCAGAACTGCCTTTCAATCACCATAGACTGATCGCACTTAAACCGTGCAACTGTACGACAAACGAAATAGTGCTATTTAGTTATATTTAGTAAGTCGTACATGCGGTACTCAAATTAAATTGAATTGATACAAATGAAGCATTCAATGCCATCTTATACTTAAGGTTCACATTAAGTCAGGAACGTTAATTATTAACTATAATCACCGTGGGAACATTTAGTGATGCAGTATTAGGTCATACAATCAATTTGAAAGAAAGTTGTCGTTGGGGTCGCTTGTTAAGTACAAATTAGAACTACTTAGACTTTGTAAGTTGCACAGTTAAGTGCGATCACTCTATTGTTCTTCAACGGAATATCATTTTCTAAATTGCACAAAATAATAGTACAAAGAGGTTAATTAAATTTCACGGGTACTATAAGTGCGTGACTCTACAAAAGAAAATAATGGAGTTTGCGACTAATGTGCTAAATTGTACTGAATTATACGACTTCCTTTGTTTGTTTGTGTGTTTTTTTTGTTTTTTGTTTATACTTAGTGAAGTTTAGACGAAGAAAACTTTAGAAAATCGTTGTATTGGGCTCACGTCCTTCATAAAAGGTGAAAGTAGAAACTTTACCGTCGTTGTCGTTTAACGACGGCAACGAATACAAGAATTAAAGCGTGATGCACGTGCAAAGTTGTTGTTGTTTTGAAAACGGAGCGTGTATTCGAATCGTTTTCGCCCGTCCCCCGGAACCGTCCACACGCAAACGAAGGAAATGCGATAGCATTATATTGACTGAGCATGCGTCTTGCTATGATATGCTATGATAAAGGTCAAATGCAACGGAAAAACCAATCCTATTTTTACGATTTCAAATGAAACTTTAAGTCAAGAGAAGGTTATATTTTCATTTTGAGCAAATTTCTTCAAGTTTTACCTCAGTTTTTTAGCGATTACTTTTGGACTTCCGAAATCACTCCGAAGAACGKCAATATTTCCGCGCGAGGAATGGAATCGAGGGATGACGTCACAGATGGTGAGATGTGGTTTCAGCAAACAGTGGCATAGCTGTTTGTTGGTTCCTTCGTTTGATTTTTACGTACAGTAGAAGGATTTAATATCTCAAGAAAATAATATCTAAAGAAGAACGACCAGTGAAGTTCGTCCATACCAATATGAGCCTATTGCAGCACTAGTTTACCGCCAGTTTCCATCATTCGGACGAAGAAGAATCGAGTTTGGAATAGGATAAGACTTACTATTCAATCGCCTAGAAAGTGAGGAAAAATAACTCTATTTTTCTGTCGCTTTCTCGACAGATGAAAAAACGTAAATCTGTTCGCAGAAGAGGAAAGCGATTATAATGCTGGTGAGATTTAGGGAAAAGTGTTTCGTTATGAACTGTTTTTGAGGTTATTTTGTTATTAACTGCGAATTCTAGCAGCCAGTTCTTACACACTATCTAGCTTATACCTGTGCTAAGATCCGCATTATGAAAATTTGTAAGCCAGCCTACAGGCATGTTGATTACGTTTTTAACTTAATGTGATTTCAATGTAGTCCTTGATTGTCATAATGTTCATTTTCTTTTATTATTTCTGAGTTATTTAACCAAACTGTAGAATTACCATTTCTTCTATCATGTATTGAGAGGAGGCTCTACTTCTAAGGTAAAGAGGTCATTCTTGCAATGGTCTAATGCTTTTATTTTCATCTAGTATTTATTGCGTACCTTGTAACTTTGTATAATTTTCACTCTTATATGAGCTGCAATAAAATCMTTTTACAATGTCTGTTGAATTGTCTATGTATTTTTAAATTTATTATCATCGACCACTAATGCGAAGGCTATGATTAAACTCATTTATTATTATCATTATTTAAATGTTATTGTTATCTGTCTTACTATGAAGTCAATGTCATTGTTAGTACTTGCTTTGTAAATTTGTAAACTTATTGGTTAGAGTGCATATATCAAGTTTCCCAAGAATGCGTCTGCCAAGTAAAAATTTGCAAAAAACACTTGCTAGAGAAAATAGAATAGAAAACTATAGCATAATTTAGCACATGCATAATTTTTATCTTTCAGTACTTATATCTGAGGAATTAAGTGAATCCACCTTATTGTTTGAACCTGATAATATTATATTTAAAGTCCATTTTTGAAAGTTATACGTCTGCATCTGTTGGGACAATTATTTTGCTTCCTAATAAAGTTCTGGCATTCTATACTTTTACATGTCCATGCCTAAGTTCTGTTTTYTATAGGGGGTAAGTATTGTTATTCAAATCAAAATTATTGCAATTCAAATAAAATATATTTGAATGACAATTGTTAAGGCGCTATATGGAAATGTGAAAGTAGAGATTTGCATTTTTTTTTTCTCAAGAATTTGGATTTATACGTCCAGGCAGAAATTCAGATTGTTTTGTATGGGGTAGTCTAGTCCTAACTCGCAAACCCTTATCATGTTATACATGTATACTGAATTTTAAACTTTCATATTTTATTAAATTCAAACAAATGAATTCATTCACAAGTAAAGTATGTGAAATTCTGCGTACAATTCTGTACAACATGTGGTATGCTCTATATTTTGCACAAATCATGGCCAGGTGAGTCACATCTCCCTCGTCAAATCTCCTCTTGCTCTGCCAAACATGTTTGATCAATAGCTGGAATAAGGTACAACCTTTGTATGTAATAGTATGTCCTATGTGAAAAATACCAAACCCAAATGTGCTTGAAAAAAATGATAACCATTGCTGGATTATACTTCAAGTGAGCAGTTTTGATGCTGTTAAAAGCATATTCCCCCAAGACATAAGGCCATGGCATGGTTAGTATACCAATGTCCATTGATACATAAAGTCATATGACCTCCAATGTGATCATAGTACCACTCTCCTTTCAGTGATAGATGGCTAAGCTTCTTTCTGGCATACATGGCAACTTTTGAATATTTCTAATAAGCAGCTCTGGAATACAATAAACTTTTCTCCGAATAGACATGATTCAGTGTTTCCATGTGAGGTCTTCATCTAGACCATAGTTAGACCTAAGGATATAAATATTGTCCATTGTTTTTGTTTTAAATAAAAGGTTAAATAGACTAAACACTTAAAGTGGTTCTTACATAATACATAGCACTACTATAACTAGTCTTTGTCGTCATAATTGTCATAATTTTCGACGTCGTCATATCTTTTTGAATGTCGATGTGGCCTTTCATTGTCAGTTTCAATATTGTCATTCAATATTACAAGCCACGGCTTTGGGTGTTCAACTATGCTTTGCTTTATGAATTTCAAGATTTTTGTTACAAGAGAAAAAGGAAATACTATCTATGAGTAAACTCTTACGTGTATTTCGAATTGTTTTCGAAATTGTTTTCAAAGCTTTCTCTACAAACTCGATAAGTCATGTGTAAAGCCGGCGGTATTAACTGACCTTCAGTGTTGATCACTCAAACAAAATTGGCTATCAAAATCTACAATCTTACCATTTTTGTTAGTTGTTTTTTCGACAGTAGATGATTCGACAGTTGAAKTRTGKGCATCTGCTTTCCCCACAATAAGAATGTCGASTTTTTCTTCGTTTTATAGCATTAAAATTCTTGCCGAACACGGCCTGTGTTCAAGGTGGCGGGAAGTGTACCGTCGAAACACCGGCACCATCTGTGACGTCATTGGAGGCGTCTCCGACTAACTTCCGATTAATTACCGAAAATGAACGACCGGTCAACGGAAATACAACACTTTTCAATCCCTGATATCTCGAAAAATAAAAATCTTCCAGTTTTCTCGCTTCGCGTATGTATTGAACATAGCAAGAACTTCTTTTTCCAAGTGTTAAAAAATCATCGAATTTTCCGTTGCATTTGACCTATAAATGATGCAGTTTTGATGCATGAAATAATCGTCGTCCAGACGTAAACGAAAAGCCTGTCGTTTTCAAATTGATCTCCACTTGTCGAAAGAAACGACGTAATGGCAAGGCTCCCACGGCGACATCTTAACCACCAGTAACAACAGGCTTCCTTATGTAGAAGAATAATTACACTATTTCAGTTGTTGTAAAGGGGTAAATGGTAAATTTCATTTTGTATGCATCCATCATTTTGTATGCATCCAAGTTTTTTCATAAAATCTTCTCAATAAGACAGTTTACAGCTTGTCCGAATACGCTGTTTTCACCAGATTCCCAGTCACGGGACTTGATCTCAAAATGACCGATAAACCCATGATCTTTCCAGAACTGATCAAATGCCATCTCACTCTCGAATTTCTCTCCRGGACCATAYAGAGGCTTMTTWAAAGTGTTGGCCGTGACAAGAACGCACGGAATTAATGGACAAACYCTGTTCACGTCTTTCAACCATTTCGGAGCYCCATCCAGYGAGGATGGAYKGCTCGGACCCCAGAATATTAATGCCCCATGACTGYCCCTATAATAAARAGTTKTCATGCGTGWMCCGAAGCGCTCTTGTTCTGCCACCTCAAAGAAACGTAATTTGATGGTAATTGGCCGTGGATTGTGATCGACGTCTTTTTCACATTTTAATATTTTCAAGGGAAAGTCGCCACCGATTACTGGACGCAGTCCGGTCGGTGCCGGTGGTGTGACTTGCAGATAATCTTTGATAAAAAACCCTTTTTCCACTCCCCCGCCGGTATAGTCCCCAAGGCAAAGAATTTTAATATTCAGCACTTCGTCTTTGTCTACACGCTGTAACTTCGGGGGAACGTTTGTTTTAAATGTTTTCATTTCTACTTCCTCTCCTAAATTGCTCAGTAGKTTGACATCAGCTTCTTCGGGTATTTCATACTTTGTAGCCATGGTATATTACAGCAGAAATTCTTTATATTTCGGTCGATTTCCGCATGCACTTCCGGYCTCCTTGAGCGATTTGAAATAGGCTCCTCAAGGGAACAACAACTTCACAAATTTGTAACGTATACTACACCACGGTGTCGAAATTGTCCTTCGATGTCCCCAGTTTTTGATTGACGACTTCCTACAGTCTACTAGACGCGGATAAAGCGTCTACGCTAGAAGTTTAAACACTGGTGACCACTGCGTGACGTCGTTACTTGCATGGCGTGACTCGTTGGACAAGGAYAGTCTTGACTCAAGAGCTCTGCTGCGCATGACCAGTCTTGTGTGCGGAGTCAGATGATGAGGTCGAGACGCTGTAAACATAACGGTATAAAACATAATCTTGGACCACCCTTCCCCAAATGACGCTATAATATTAGACGGCCACCCCTCGCCTCCATAATGACGCTAGATTTAAGGTTACCACCCCTCCCCTCCCCTCCCTTGATAACGCTGTAATTTCAGATGACCACCGCTCCCCCGATGACGCTATATCAGCGGTGTAAACGGGGCTAAATTGTTTAGCGAAACAAAATCAGTTACAGTCAACTCTCTCGTAAGCGACCACTTCGGGATCAGGAAAAAGTGGTCGCTTACGAGAAAGTTTTTTTTACAGAGTTTATATGGGAAAGTGAACAAAACAGGTGGTCACTTACGGGAGATGGTCGCTTACAAGAGTGGTCGTTCAAAGAGAGTTAACTGTATTTATTACATAAATTGGCAAGAATAGAAAATTGGCAAAACAATGTGTCACGATATTTACCTATAGTATGTTAAGTTAGAGTTATCTTCTGTGTTATCTTCCGGCTACCTCGTCTTATTGATTTTTCAGCTTTAATTGATTGAATTAATTTGGATTTTGAGTTCTACGCGTTATAAATCTGATCAGGAGGAGACAACGGGTTCTATTCTTCTAAATGTAATCTGTTCTTGTACGATTTTTTTCCTGGGAAAGAGATTTTGAGATTGTTGACAATCTCACAAGCGAGTGTGGAGCCCTTTTTTTGTTCCTGACAAAACGTTTTTAGGTCAAAAAAGGTTGATATAACGTTTTTATGGTCAAAAACGGCTTATATATTTTTAGGAAGTTAGGAAATTTTCATATTTTCCTCGCAAAAATCCTTAGAAGGTATTCCTCTCCTAGAGAGTTCGATCTTTTTTCCTGAATTTCTCGATGGCAACCAGTAGTGAATTACAGCTTGCTGGGACATAATTTCTCCCAGGAACCCGTCGGCAAGGAAAGGTCGCTCCCAGTGCTTCCCGATATTCCATTTATCAATCACAAAATGCATTGCGGAACGAGGCCCGCTGGTCTTTATGAGAACTATGCACGCAGTTACCCTAAAAGATCTCGATTTTGTGTTGTATTTCTTTAGAATGAAGACAGCGAACAATATTGACCGATAAAACGCCACAAAAACTCATCCACGTGGGCAACTTAGTGTGTAAAAAGGTCCTGTTTTATGCGGTACGCACATCGCACGGTTAAAGTGCGATCACTCTATTGCTCTGTATCGGAATTCCATTTTCTAAATTGCACAAAATAATAGTACAAAGAGGTTAATTAAATTTCACGGATTAAGTGCGTTCACTCTACAAAAAAATAATAATGGAGTTTGCGACTAATGTGCTAAATTGTACTGTACAAACTAAATAGTGATATTAAGTTCTATTTAGTAAATCGTGCATGCGATAGAGTGATCACACTTAATCCGTGCAACTGTACAAACTAAATAGTGATGTTTAGTTGTATTTAGTAAATCGTGCATGCGATACGCAAATTAAATTGAATTGATACAAATGAAACATTCAATAGCGTCTTGCTTCAGGTCCACTTTTAGTACAAATTAGTACTACTTAGATTTTGGTGAGAACTAGCGGTAAACTAGTGTGAGCTGCGTCGGTGTTTCTAAAGAAACAGTTGTGTAAAAAGATAAATTTAACACCGTAAAAAAGGATGTGAAATAAAAATTGAAAAGAAACAGTTGTGTAAAAAGATAAATTTAACACCGTAAAAAAGCATGTGAAATAACTTACTGACGTTTCGGACGTTAATCCTTCGTCGGAGTAAAGAGATAGAACTAGGTATAATGTGAGTTTATATAGTAAGAGTTACTTAGATTTTGTACAGTTGCACGGATTAAGTGCGTTCACTCTTTCGTCAAATCTACTTGAAAGGGAAAAAAATCGCGAAATCATTATAAGTTTTTTTTCTGCTTTAATAGTCAAGTTTTGTTTGACAGGTTTAGAGTGAAGTAAAAACACCCGTGAAACAGATATTACACTAATACACCTTAGTACGCTCTAATTGCAATTGTCTCTATTTGACCATCACACTTAAAAAAGTCAAGTTTTGTTTCACGGGTTTAATRACTTCAGTCTATAGACAAACTGCACAAAACATGAAAATTGACAAAATAAACGTATCTGTATCCAATGAAGTAAAAAATAAAATAGTGAGCTGAAAAACCGTGAAACAAGAATATCAACTGAAGTGAAGTGTCAAAATAAAGATATTAAAATC